CTAAAATACGAGTCGAAGTTGTGACATAAAACGATCGCGTTCACGTAGCGTCGTGTGACAGGACACCTCTAGAGTTTAACGATACTGGCATTAGACATACCACTTAGCAGCAGTAAACATTCATTACGTTTCTTCCCGCTTGGGGGCAGGTTGGCACACTTAATTGTTCATACAACAAGCCAGCCGGGAATTGGCTCTAAATGTTCCGTTGTCCGGACTATGGCCGTACCACAAACGCGCCACGCGGTCGTAGTCCGCAGCACTGAGCAGAGCGAGCCAAAATCGACCGCGTAGTCTCATATCTTAGCTTGATTTTCGTGGGAAAGCCGAGCGTTACACGAAACGAGGAAGGCTGTGATGGAAAGCGCAATAGGCGGCCGTTTACACCTGCGATTCTTCTTCATCTTACCCTAAACTGGCGCGCCGCTTTACCTAAAGTAATTATGCCACATAACGTATTAGTCTTTTGGGAGCGAACACGTGTTGGAAACGCTTAATCACTTACTTTACATTTGCGTACACAAATAATCCGTTAATTTAATTTCGGTGGTGGTATTTATGACGCTTATTTAATTTATTATCATATCAAAGTGTAGGCTTTATTTAGCGGGTTTTGTGTGCGTGCGAATAAACGTTAATAATGAAATCATGTAACAGTACACGGGGGAAAAATTTTAACGATTTCATAATGTTGACGGTTAAAGTCGTTTTCCTACATTGTAATTAGTATTCCCGGTAACAGCCATATCGTTATATTAACGACAGGCTTGTCGATAGTAAAGAATGTAGGGTTGTGCTTGGGCTGGAAGGAATATTGATCATATCTGAATCCCGGTATCTATCATTTGTCGTAAATCGCATTCCACGGCGTGTTTGTCCCCATCTCGCCGGGATCGCTTGAAGCCCTCCTCACTATTGATATTTATGCTTTTTTTGGGATACTTTTCGACGGTAAGTTGTTTTGAAACTTTCCTTTTCGGAAGAAATGGCCGGGTTCACTGGATTAATGTAACTAGAGTGTTGTAATTGGTTGAGAAGTTATTACTTTTCTGTTTCTTTTCGAGAAAAACATAAAGCAATTGTGCAAGTTCTTCGGGAGTGATTTATTTTTATTCCTTGAAACATCTTTTCCGAACTTAAAAACAACGTTGAGGAGAGTTTTGTATATCTCACTGATTTATTATTTATTGCGTTTTGGTTTGATAAAAAAACATTCAAAAAGTTTTACTCCCATAAATTATTTTTTGCTACGTCTATGCCTTATTTGGGTAAGGGACATGTTTACCCTCAAATCTAATAATTTAAAACAGAGTTTTCAAATCCTATCAAATTGTAAGACTTCTCACAATAAATTTATTTCGAAGAAATAAAACCTAAACCTTATATCCGACATATTTCTCAATATCAAAAAAGGTAAGAAGTATCGATGGAAAGCAAATCACCAGAAAATCTTCATTGCCACCGATTTATAACGGATCCGAACATTTGTTTCGTCTCTTGTGGAGGCCTTAAAAATATCCGGTCCAGAAAATAAATAACAAAAGCCATTTTATCTGACAGGACCTTGTTTGAAATCATAATAAATAGCCTTTTAGAAAACCGCATCCCAACCCAAAGTGTCGTACAAAAAGGGGTTTCGTAAACACATTACAAATCTTTGCTGTGGCAACGCGCAGTTAAGAGGCTGTCAATGAAATCCCCTCCTCGGACTATTCGTTATGTGTCTTAATGGATTACATGGAATAAAGTAGGCATCGGCTAAACAAAAGGCGAACCTGCCCCGAAAATCTCCGACCACATAGTTTGCGGGCTAAAACTAAATTTATTACATTTGACCTTAGTAATTCTTGCCAAAGGTTTTCTATCCTAAATGTGTAATAGCCAGTTACGGCTTTCAAAGGTGGGGCTCGCGTTCGCCCGTTGCGGTTTTATACGCAACTAAATATTTTATGAGTTACAAAATAGTTGTGTAAAAGTTCCAGTTTTGGTTTGATCCTATCAATAAAATAGTTTATATAACAATAATGTTCCCGAATTGATATCTGACTCGGATGAACCTTCCAATTTCTGTTAAATTGTAAATGTTATTCCTAATCTACAACTTTTGAAAGCAAATATTATAATTGTATATTTAAATACAATCCCATATTCCCATGGAGCATAATAAATCACAAACAAAACGTTACTCCAGAAAAATAAATACATTTACAAAATGAATGTGTCCCATATCAATATAATTAATAGCTTTTAATTCCCGTCGCATTTAAATCTAAGCTTATTCAAACCAGATCGTTTCTCCCTGGGGGCACGGCGACAACATATCCACGTATTTTAGTGCAAGCCGCATGCAATGGGATTGCACAGTTCGATGCCCATCACATCAAACTTATTTCTGCACCAATCGCTACGATTACCTGTTCACAGGCCGTTTTGCAAGTTATACAGATGCGTTTCACTTTGAACGTGCTCATTTCGTGTCCTTTGAAGCTTCCACGTTTAGAAACGTTTGATTTCAACTCTTTCGTCGTGATTCGCGCCCGAGCGACTGAGCGACGTGTTTCGCCTTTACATTCGGAAACAAATGAAGAGCTGCACAAGGAAAAGTTTTTAATTCGCCTAATGCACACGGAGTACCTGTCTTTTCCTAACTAAAGTGCACTCTTATACCGCTTCGCGTCGGCACGGCGTTCTGTCACATCGACTGTTGCATTGTGAGCAGTTTATTTTAGCTCCGTCTTGAATGCATCCCATTTTTCTCAAGGCACACTTTCTACAAAAATGGACGAGTTGTTTTGTAAATGTTTGAGATGTTTTTGAATGTTACTTCAATGTCAGTCGCTTGTTTAGACTTACTTCGAATACGTCAGTAAACACAGACCAATTAACCTTTATTAATAACTGGCATAATTTCGGACATTAATTCGGATGATATGAAACGTAATAAGTTGAAATATCTCCATCTTAATGAGATCAAACAGCAATTATCGTTAATTAGTTAAAAAAACAAAAGAAGTGATGCCAAGTTCTATTTCTTAGACAGTTAATCAGACTTAATGATTACTTTGATTTTCATCTCTCGCCGGCGAAACGAGAAACTTAATGAAAAGTCAAGCAAACTCAGGCGAATACAAATTTTAGCATTAGTATGCAAGAGTAAAGTTTTTATTCAATATATCTTGCAATGTTTTATCTTTCGTTTGTCTTGCTCGCATCAGCAATGCACAAGTTATTGTTACTTGCTGATGGCAAATACGAGTACGTCTCGAGGTTTCTGTTTGTCTTTTAATTTAGCTGTATCGAAATGTTTAATTACACAATATGAAGCAAGTTTTGAAATATCTTGAGAAGACTTATAGAGGCGGTAATGAGGAGTCTACCCTTGTTTATCTACATTAAGGCTTTAGTAACATTTGTACTTGCGAAGTAGAAGTTTCAGAACATTGTTGATTTTATTAATTCTCTCGAGGACGTAGATATTTCCGTACAATACAACTATAAATACTTTGCTTTTAATAAAATGTTATGCTGCAAGTTCATTCATCTCGGAGTATTTTTTTGAAACTTTTCGCTTCTTGTAATCTTATCTATGTTTGCTCATATGCAAATGCCTCGCGATAAAAACTCTTAACGCGAATTTGTTGATTCAGTGTCAGGCTGTCAAGTCAGCAGCCTTGTTTAGTTCCGTAGTAGTGTCGTCCCCGCACGGCATCGAGTGCCTCCTCCTCCCGCCACCTAATTCTGATATGAATATGAAATTGTATGTAAATGTCGGCCAAATGTTGCCGCGCAACTTGACAACTCGACAGCGCTGTAAATATACGGGTAACGTTGCACCGACCCACCAACTAGGTATACCGAAACATGCGAGTTCGTAGTTTACGACCGACTGTGACTGTTTGAATAAATTGTTTAGATTGTCGTCTATGTACATACTTAGAGCAGGGCAAAGGTGCTGAGCACCACAATCCACGCAACCTGGGAATTCGTATAGGTGCACAGTTAATATAATACAGAGAGCCCTCGCTCCGCAACACTAACAAGAGCAATATCACCTAACTCCGTTCAGCGGCAGCACCCCTTCTGTTTTAAACTAGAATCCATTTCACGACTACAAACTCCACAAATGTGCATTTTCTCGTGCCGAGCTTTGCCACAAAGTTAAGTTTTACCACTTGCTATAATTACCAATAAAACGTGTTCCTGCTGATGGCACGTCAAATAGAGCCGCATCCAAGTTATGAAGTTGCCGTCTGCCTCCGTGACACCGCGTTATTGCTGACATTTTAGCCTGATTATCTTTAATTAAAAAGTTGTTTTAGGCCCCCACGAAATGCCAAGTTATTAAAAGAAATTGCCGAGAACCCGCGAAGTGGTAACTCAGTGAATTGTCATAATTAGATTAAAAAGGCTCTGTTTTACTACGATTTCGGCCAGAGATTTCTAAACGACACTTCAGTAGTTCTATTGTTAGACACATTCGGCTCTTGATTTCGACGCTGCGATTGTATTAGAACGGGTTTAAACGCATCGTATGCTCAAAGAATATTGACAGATATGATCACTTCTCGATTGGAGCTCGGCCAACAATGTCTAGATTTTCTGTACGATTTGTAACTCGATACCATAGCTTCCGTTTAGAATAGATGTGCCATTTTAGAGTGTTGCGTCTCTCTCGGATTCGACGTGCGTTCCCCAGATATTTACGACGTTATGCACTTCAAGTATTTGCATGAAATATTCCCGTATAGTCGATTACACACGATTATGGTGGGGTTACGATTGCGTGTTAGTCTTCGCGTGTAATTTGGAAACCGTTTTTTATTTGAATTATGGAAGGAATATTGTATTCATACAGTTGAGTTTGTTTTAATATTGATGGGCTGTTACATTGATACGTTTGAATATTTGTGGGGGCGCGGGAGAGCACCGGCGCGGCGCGCGGCCGCCCGTCATATGATTCCTTTTATTTATTTTAATCAAATGTGCCGCTTGTTGTTTTGATGCGGCGAGGTTTGCTGTCGTGGCAGTTTGCATGCTCCACATTCGCCCATGAATTCCGGTGTGCGGACCTGCGGATAGATGAATGCTTTAACATTTTACATATCCGACGAATGAATTCGTTCTCCCAACTGACGGTTTTTCATTTTATTCAGTTATTTGATACGTTTTTATTTATACCGGCCGGTGTGTTGTCTTTGTCGAGTTTACTCTGGGGTATTGTTATAAACATAATAGATATAGGTATTCATACGGCCATGTCGTGCGTTCGTAAAACCTTTTATGCTGATAGCGGATTTGCTCTATTTACAAAACTGGCTTAGCCTACATGCGTGAGTTACCCCATATTTTCCTACAAAGCCAAACATTTGATTCACGAAAACACTATTTTGTAAATTTAATTTATTTATGCCCATTTTAACATACGGTATTTGGCCGCTTGAAAACTCTGTAAATATTTTAGATGTACAGGATTTGTAACAATTCGAATGCGCGCTATTATTAAGCTTACTTAATGGCAGCAATGTCTAGTATTTTAATCTGAATAATTCGAGACCAAGGCTCATTACAAAGCGTCACAGAATAAAAAATAATAGAGAAATGGCGGGGGTATAATGAAAATCTGGATGTCGTATTTCTTTTTGAAATTGGTTCACATTTCTTTGTAAGTGTGCGTGCGGCAGGCTGTGGTCCGGCTGGCGGGGCCAATCAATGGTTATGAGTGTGGGGTGGCAGGGCTCGAGGACAGGCGCCGTGTGCCGGGGACAGTAATCATTTAAAGAGTGTGCGCACTCAGTGTGAAACGCATCTCGACAATTGCCGTTTACGTTGTACAATCAGATCGCGCTACCTCTCTCATATCGACTTTTTCCACTTCGTTTGTTGCGCCCGGTTTGGGAATAGTTTTTGTTTCAACCGGACTAATCAACGGCCGAACATGGCCGACCGACCGAGCTGTTCCATTTTGTTTCAGAATAAAATATTTGAATAGTTTAAACGACATACGGTCATAATAGTTATGAAGTATAAAACAAACATTTACAGTTAGCTCGTAGAGAACATTTTTATAGTTCGCAAATATTTAACATTAACATAGAAAGTTTAAAGAGTACATTTTACATGATCTCTTAACCTCTAAACTGTAGAGGATTATTCTCGATTAAACATTCATAACGTGTGTGTGATGTAATATAAAACTAAATGTATGAAAATTCTTGAACAAGCTTTGAATAAAAATATATAAAACTTTATTTAGAAGCGAATTAAACAGTCACCGTATTATTTTTAGCTAGTTATTTTTATGCTATATGTTAGCTATAAGTTCTAACTTTTGTATTGAATAAACCATAGTTTATTCACTAAACTACTACTACTAATCCTTAAATTCATTTTAATCTATGGATTAAAATACTACCTAGTTAGATTGATTAAGTTACACCATAATTCAAACTCCAACTGTTCCAACCAACACCAAAAATGACAACAAGGCAAAAACACAAATACAAATGCCTTATTGCATTCCACAGTGTTTAACTTAGGTGGTAACATAAAATAATACAGATCATTATGGACCCTGTTGGGCATAGCAAGGAAATATATAATTTTAATACAAAAAATGACAAACAATAATCATTACTAGTCATTTGATGCAATTTATACGAACAAAAATTGTTACGAACAATTTATACGTCATTCAACCATCCCATGGAACCCGCAGCTCGCCATACCATAGTAACACCGTAGAAATTACACAATTTACATACGATTATCAAATAATCATATCTCAACGTTCCCTTACGACGTTTCGGAATTACGATACAAGTCGTATCAGGAGCACTGTATTTGCGGTTACGCGGTGCAAATATCGATTTACATGCTGTATAATTCACGGTTTGAATTATGTATTGACTTTCATTAGCACGTTGGCCAGTCCCAAGGTGTATTAGCACATAAATTCGTTTACCCGAACCCTATGTAAGGAATCCTTACGTGTGAACGATTATCCTTTCGAGCGAATATCCCTTGGACATCTTTTGTTTTTGTTATGGTGTAGTGTTTTACTGAGATTGTTTTAGTTGTAATTGTAAGTATTATAAGATTAGTATTTAGGACAGTTTTCAAGTTAGAAGTAGAAAAAAAATTGTACCTTCATTTACTCTTTCCGTAAAACATACCTGAGTAGAAAATGAGGCAAAGTTAATGTCAAAGCATTTATTTCAATTGAATCATAATTTGGTACTTTTGAAACGTCAACAAATACAAAATAAATAATAATCTATCAGTCTGTCCGTCAGTGACTCCCTTTACGTTTACGTCTATATAGATTGAAGTATCATAAATATAAAATTGACTGAAACCACAGCCATTTTTTTTCTCTACTCCAATATAAAATACTGTTACAAACCTGAACACAACATGCGGGTCACCGCACGTAATGTTTTGAGGGCTGGCAACATTCAAACGCGGTGTTGCCAGGAAGTTAATTACATTATTTAATGATATTTTGCAGTACCGCCCACCTGACTGATAAACCTAATGATTGACAAATTATCGAGCCTGTTTATTACTGGTACTGCGCGCCAAATGGGAATTAAATGCTATGCAATAATGAAACACCGTATATTCATTACATTTTGCTCCTAAACTACACCCATACCATATTGTAGGCGCTTTTTGTTCAACAAAAAGTAGCCCGCGTGTGCTCCAAATCTAGTTAGTAATTTAATATTGATATCAAATTCTAGAATGCTTGTAAATAATTCGAAATTCCAAAATTCCTCAGAGATATACAGAAATATTCAATAAATTCAAACAGACTTAGAAATAAATGTCCCAATTTGCAGTTCAAAACAATTTATATCAACAATTCGAATCAATTTTCATTTCAACCGCTGCTTTCGAAATAATTATTTCCATTTATTGTTTTAAAGCAAAAAGTCTGCGAAGTGAAAGCCACTCAATTTATTTAATAACAAGATTTAATTTCTCGTGTAAAGGTTTATAAGGTAATGAGTTTCCACAATATACGACTTTATTTCAACAGAAAATAATAGCGAAATATTGCGGATACTTACCAACTCCAATAATTGCAGGCTTAACGCCACACGCGTGCTATTACCTCAGAAACGGCCCATCTCAATCATTATAATGCCCGTTTAATTATTATTCATTGCGCGAGCACGCTCGTCTGGAGTCCGCACCGATACCCATCTCTATTCGCAATCATTATACCACAAAAACCCGTCTACATGAACCCTCGAACACGGAGTGTTACTGTGATCGATGTATTTACAATGTCGTTTTAGTTTTAATTAAGCTACAGTTGGACCGTTAAGCTGGACCGCGCAGTAAAATGGTGCGCGCGACGCGTGCGGTGCGTTAATAAGCCCGCGCGAATTTAACTCGGACCGTGGACCGTAAATGAGAATCGCCAATAAATCGGGCATTATAATAAACATTAACGTTATTGTTTCCCGTTAAACGGGTCACCCCGCGCCCCCCACCGCAGGTGCCGCCGCAACAATCCGCCCGGAATTTCAACGACTTCAATTATTGAGTGCCTCGGAACCGAACCCTTTGGCTCCTCAAGGGGCCGGACTGTCCATTTCATCGGACGATAATGCCGCCTGGCACTCGGGATCTACCTAACTTAAATAAACCGGTATAAATATTCCCTTTTCGTATTTTTCCATATAAAACTTGGTTTAGAATTTAATTAAGTTGGAAACAAATAAATCCATTTAGCTCCGTTACAATTTTTCCTCAAGAAGAGTAATACTTATTCAAATCCGATTTTTATAATATAAACTTGATTATGATAAATTGAGTATCTGAATACTTAAATACATATTTCATATTCAATATAACGCAATTATAAGCAAGTTATTCAAATATTTATACTTGTAAACCGTCATTCGCCACATCATGAATATAAGATGTCCGGTGACAGGAAACCTTGATTCGATTGAAGATTTGCATAATTTGCAACAGCTATAAGCTCTTGGTGTTATCCTATAACGTTCAGATAGGGTTTAAAACAAATAACTGCTTAGTTATTTTGTTCTAAACAACTTCCAGATAAAAATTTAACACGAATCTAATATTAATAAATTCTCGAAAACAATGTAGCGTTTTACGTCGCTATAAATACAAAACAATCGCCCTATAGGCCACTAAGGTACGGTTAAAGCATTATCGAAACTAAATTAGGGTGGTTACACACACGCGTCACGTTGTCGCTAATCTCGACTCTTAGCGCAATCTCGAGCCATTCCAACGAGAAAACAATACAGCCACCTTTCACGGGGAACAAAGAGGAAATAACAAAAGAATGGAGTCGACGAATCGCTGTACTGCGAATTATCGGACCGGCTCCAACACACGTGCGAATGCCGTTGATCGCCCTTTAAAACGAGCGCTACAAAGAAAAAAGTCACTACACAATTCAAGTCGAAGGCACGTTTAACACAAGGAAAGTAAATATCAGTATGATGCAGCGTGCGGTCGAACCTTTTATGTTTTCGGTATTTACTATGTGACCGCTTTGTGTAACTTCAGTTGCAGTGGGGCTTTGTGTTAAAAGGTTCGCGCGTCCGCCCGTCCGTCTATACTAAACAGGGAGTTAGCCAGTGGAATTTCACCGACTTTTTTCTGTTTTATGATTGACAGCACACGGGCCGTGTTCGGTCGCGCGATCCGTGTCCAGCCGTCCGTGAGCCGCTACTAAGAGACCTAACCGCCCCCACTCCCACACCGTCACATATTGCATCACACAAAAGCTCTCTGAATACATTTGCTATATCTACACTCGAACCATCGAACTGCACACAAAAGTCAACCTCTCCAAAAAACGTACAATACGAAATACGGCAGAACCTTCATTCGCATCTAATTACGAAAATTAAATCGCCGTTTTCAATGTGTGTCTAAGCGTAGAAAAAAATGGGTTCGTCTCGTTAAAACTTTCGTCTGCAAATATAAAATTCAATTTCTGAATGAGCACAAAAAATCTTCCACCTTGTTTTTCGCGTTCATTTTGCATCAACCGACGTAGAATCCTAATTATCTTTTCCAGTTAAGCTTAAGTGAATTATTCCAGCCGCCCACTGTGGAGCACAAACAAAACGGCACTGAGTTCGCAACCTCAGTCGAAAATACTAAAACATTAAAGAGCATTCCCGGCGTACGTATAATATCCGCTAAGTAGTAAATATATGCGGCGCATAAGCCCGCTATCTTGGCGGAGGTAACTGAGCTGCGCTTTAGCCGGCTCTACTTTTAATAACGCCCGCAAAATCATCTAATTAATCTGATTACGTACGGA